ACTCGTGCTTATCCTTTTCGGTGTGGTCGAAGGATAATATATTATTACTCAGTTATGGACTCCAATGCCTACAACTGTTTCGTTAATAGGCTCTCAATTAAAACAGGAGTCGATTGATGATAATTATCTTCCATTAATTTCCAGGATAATGTTGAAGCCGCTTCTGCTGCAGTTCTTTTGCCGACACAAACTCTCTCTTAAACCCCATCAATTTCCCACCTTTTCTTTTGCTAAATCACGACGCGTTTGCTTTTTAATATCTTTTCATATCTCACATGAAAATACGCAAGCATCGTTAATTTAATTATCATCATTTACTCTTTAGTTAATTCTACGACGTACCCAAAAATATTTTTTAAACTTCCATACTCTTCAATATCTATGAACTAAAATTTAATTTCATCATCAAAATACATAAAAATGATAAATACAATTATATTATTGCCAAATTCACGGAGAATGTTGGTTCGGGGACTTAATGACCAGAGCACCTTGGTTTAATATGCTCTTGTAAAATACTAAAGGCTAGTTTGGACAAAGTAAAAAAAAAAAAATAGATAATAATATTTTTTATTTATTTAAAAAAATAAAGAGGAGAAAAAAAATACTTTTTCTAGAAATAATAATTCAAAATTTTTATTTAATTTGTTTTAAAATTTTCTTTTCTTTTCTCTCAACCACACAAAAGTTATCAAGATAAAAGTAGTTTATATATAATATGAAAATATGAATTTTTTTTTTTAATATTTAGATATGGAATATCTTGTTGAAAGGGTTTCTTTACCTTGGCCGTAGAGCTTGGCAGCATTACACGCAAGTTTTTGTCTACTTTTTGTGCAATTGCAAGGCAATTTCGTCCTTTAAACTAACAAGACGAGGAGTCAATTAGAGGGATCAAGTTAAGAAAGCTCTCAAGTTTAATGCTTTTTGTTTTTTTATTGAACCGACCATTTTATCTCTTAACTGGAGAAACCAGGTGGTAGAGTTTAGATTTGTGCCTTTCCAAGTGGGAAACTGTCCCTCTGCACCAAAACAAAACCAATCCGCTTCTGCTTGTGGTGTGCATATTTCATCCAGAACCTCCTCAAATTACGGTTTGAAAAGTCCAAATTAAGATTTTGGTTTGTCATTATCAATCGGTTATATTGTCTTTTTTCTCAGATATTATAAACAACATTCAATTTTTTAATCCTCTTTGCTCGGAATTAATGACCTTACTACACTACACCTTCCTCTTTTTTTATCTTCTTTTCTCTTTTTAAAGATGGCCCACCCGTCACCCGCTAAGATACTCACTTAGGAATATAATATCGAATAGACAAAAAAAAAAAAAAAAAAAAAAAAAGATATGAATGTCGCTTATATATGTAACCAACTTGCATATCGACTAGAAAATGTTTTTTAAACAATTTTGGGACAATTTTTAGTTTTTTTATCTATTTTTTGAGTGAGTTTTGGGATATGTATATGTAGCAAAATAAAACAAAAAAAAAAGAGTAATCTTATGCATAATATTGATTTTAATTATTTAAACAATGGAACTGATATATCCACTTGTGCAAGCCTTGTTCCCTAACCAGAAGTCAATATTCTTCCTATGCCTTGCTGACTTCATTTTGCATGAAAACTATGATGACCGTCCATGTCCAATTTTGTTGGATAATCTTCAAGTTTAAGCCAGAAAGAGAGAGGGAAGAGTAAAGTAAGGACAGTTTGGAAAAACAAATTGGAGAAGAGGACTTATTTTTTAATTTTAAATTAACAAATTATATATTATTTATGATGATAAAATTTATATTAATATGTTAATTATATTTTATTTTAAAAAATATTTATTTAAAATAAAATTCTGTTATTTTCTTCCGAAAACAACTCTAAACAAAATTGTATAGTTAGTCAAATGCATAAAATAGACGCAATTGATTACTTATTAAATTCACCCTATACGATTTTTTTTTCAATATGATCATAACTAACGCACTTTGTTATCTCATGATTATTTCCTGTAAGAACAAGTGGAATGTGATATGATGCATGCACGCACTTGCAGTTGACGCCACTTTATTAATCCTTTGTTACAAGAGTATTTTTTTTATGCGTATATACTAATAGTATTTATATTATAACGCCAAATTTAATTTAATCTCTGATCATTTATCATATACTTTTTTAGAAAACATTAAAATGTATAATCTTATCAGTTAAATTAATATTGACAAATATCACAAATAACAATACGCTTTATATATTACAATAGCAAGTAATGTAGTATTTTAATTAGCATGTTTCTTTCGCATTTTATGTTGATATTTTGATACGACACTCTTCAATCTCTTACAATAAAGTATTTTAAAATGATGTCACATGTTGCCCATCTTCATTAAATATGCTGCGATATATATATATGAACTGCTTCGCAACCCGCAAACATTGCATAAAAAGAAATGAGGTAAATGCAAAGCTACATGGAATAGTCAGACATAATTAATTAGACATGAAAGATTAGAATTTGAACTATCACTCATGTCAAAATAATTTACAATATCCTTTTTTCCAATTTTGAAACACTAAAGCTCCCATGCTTTCTAGGTTGACGTAAACAAATCCCTTTCTGGAGAAGTTATACCTCATTATCTGTAATCAGTTTATAAAAAGAGTGATATATACTAGTAAAATTGGCTAATATAGCAACATCTACATATGTTGACGTGGGGGGTTGTTGACGTTACACTTGTTTTGTTTACAAAAGCGACTTAACTGTATATTAATCAATATTTTTAACGTCCAATAAAATGACAAAAATATACATTTAATCTAAATTAATCAGCTGAACATATATAAGGAGCGACAAGATTGTTGAGTTATGATAATTTGTCTAATCAATTAATATATGTAAAAGAAAAGAAAAAGGATTAGTTACACTTCATAAATTTTAAAATAATAGTATATTTTAATTTTGGCCATTAGTTACATTTATTTATTTTTTACATTTAACTAATTATTTGTCTTTATAAAATTTTAAATTAAATTAAATTTACTACTAATTACTAAGTACTTCTAATAATGAAAAGAAAACACACCTTTAATTTAAAGACGAGAGATGTCGTATGACGATAAATAGTTAACATCAAAATTTAGAGTCAATACTGTTGAGAAAGTTTTTTTTTTAATCTAAATAAAAATTAAAGTTGGTGATGGGAACAATAATTATTTTTTCTCATATGCTTAATTTTGATATATAAATTTTATTAGTATATATACTTAAGTTTAAATTTAGTATAAACTTTTATTTTAATTTCTAAAACAAATACTAATAGTCAATTTTCTGTTATGTTGATATATTTTTGCTTTAAATAAATTTTTTATTGTTTAAAAAAATTTAAAAATAAATTGCGAAAAAATTAAACGACACAAAAATATTTTCAGTCATTTCCGCTATTGAGATAAATGACTCAATAAATAAAATAAATTTTATAGCTTTACGATAACAAAATATATATATATATAATTTTATTAAAAAATATTTAATTTTTAACATAATATATGCAATATATTTAATAACTAATCTTAAATGTTTTTAAATTTTAAAATTATTTAAGCCACATGCGAAGGGAAAACCTTGAACCACACACAAAGCATCAGCATTTGCGGGTCCTTGTGCAGCCTCCTTGAGTAACGGTTGATTGATTATTGAGAATAAATCAGACACACACGTATTAATTTGTTTTTTTTTATATATATTATTTAATTATATTTTATTAAATAATTTTATTTTAAAACTTTCCTATGTTAAAAAATTTATATCCTATAAGTTATGTTTCTAAAATTTTATATTAATCTATTTTTTATTCCTCCAACATATATATTAAGTTTAACGTAATACATTATTTTAAAATATATAAGAATTATTTTTTATCATCATTTAATTTTATAAGATTTGATGGGAATAATTTAGATAATATACTGTTAGAATTTATTGGTTAAACAAATAAAAATAACATTATATATAAAATTATGATCAAATATAAAAATAGGCATTACTCAAATTGACGACAAATAAGAAATTATGTTTAATTAATAATACATTATTATTATTGTTGTTATTATTAAGTATATTTTTCATGAATTCTGTGAAGAAGAGAATGAATCTAGGTTATTTGGTCTGATTATACAATAATACATTATCTTTAGATAAAATTAAAAACTAAGAATTTGAATTTTTGAAAATTTAATTATATCTAATAATATACTTCTATAGACTATTTGTTTTGAAATTTCTTTAACTATAAGTCAATTGGATTATGGACAAATTAATAAAAGTTACAAATATCCAAACCCGTTCCTTTTCTGTCGCCATTCTACCGAATCCACCAGGCACCAGTCAATCTACAACGTTCCTTTCGTGAAATATATGTATTTATCCGGAAAAAAAAAAGTCCTAATAAATTATAATTCATCACCCCACTTCTCATAATTATATCATAAACCATTCTTTACTTATCCTTTGTTTGATTTGATATGTCCTAAATTATAATTCATCGTTGTAGCTTGTTGATAACTTAATTCAGAAGCTTACCAATCCACCTTTAAATTACCATTTCTCTTTTCCGTGATTAATCGGTCAATATAATTAAGAAGGTTCAATACGCTGGACGGGCTCAGCGGTGAACGGCTCCACCACCACCATCATCAACTTTAGTAATAATTATAATTATATAGAATAAGAATGTAGTCTACATCTACTATTAACTACCATTTCATAATTAATAATATCTATTAATTTCTTCACAAAAAGAAAAAAGAAGAAAAATATGGAAGGTGCCTAGTTCCCAGTCCACACAGTGACCAAGCAAAGTAAACCGAGAGCAAGAGGGTCCTACACGAGTAGCCACGTCATACACATTAATCGATTCCATGTATCCAACGGTTCAGATTCCATCATGACTAGCGTCCCTCCACTCCATTTTCTATAAATTCTCTTCTCTATCTCTCACTCACTCTCAAACACTTGAAAGCTTATTAACTTTTCCGGCGAACAAACATGTTTTCTTGGAAAGTTCTTCTCATCTCCGTCGCCGTTGTTTTCGCCGCGTTGGGGCTCAAAGCCTCTCTTCCACTCGCCACCACCAACCTACCTATCCTGTGGACCTTCTTCCTTTTGTGCTTCAAGCCTCCTTATCTCTACGTCATCCTCAACGCCATCATCATCTCCATCGTCGCCTCCTCCAGGTTCAATCACTCCTCCGCCGAACCCAACCACCCTCCCGAACCAACTCCTCCGCCTCCTCCGGTGCACGTCATTCCGGAACCGCCGCTTCTGGAAATGAAGGCCGTGCTGGTTAACGGATCAGACGCGGTTGAAGAAGCAGAGGATGAGGGGGATGAGGAAGAGAAGAAAGTAATCGACGAAGGAATGACGCTGATGAGAACAGACTCGACGGAGATTGCGCCGGAATATCTATATCCGGACGAGAAACCTCTCGTTTCTGCTAGGTTCGGTCACCGGAAACCGCCTAAAGCCAGTTATGAAGGTATTAGATTTCTCGCTCATTTTTTCCCTTATCTGAATTATTAATTAAGAAAAAGAAAAAAGAAAGGTAGAATAAGTGTTTCAGTTTCAGCGCATGTTGTCGTTTTGCGAATTGCATGTAATTAAGTATGGCGTTTACTTGGACTAGTAGGTGGAAGAGCGTTGAGGGTGGTGGCAAAGGTGAAACGGCACGAGACGTTGGAGAACACGTGGAAGGCGATAACGGAAGGTCGATCCATGCCGTTAAGTCGACACATGAAGAAGTGTGACACGTGGCAAAGCGGCGGCAACGCGGGCCCACCCGAAGCAACTGTGAACAAGTGTGAGACATTCAACGATGGGAGCAAGACGGTGAGCGCGTCTGCTGCGAGGCTGCGGAGAGAACCCTCTCTGAGTCAAGACGAGTTGAATCGGCGCGTGGAAGCGTTCATACACAAGTTCAACGAGGAGATGCGGTTGCAAAGACAACAATCCTTGGAACAATACATGCAGATGATTAACCGTGGTGCTGCTTAATCTCACTCATTTTCTGCTGTAAAAACACATTCATATTCTGTAGGAATATTCATAGTATAGTTACCAAAAAAACAAATACATTGTAAATATTTCAACAGGTGTAGTTACAGTGTAGAGAGTAATGGTCTTTGCAATAGGGGTATTTAATTCTTTCTTTTTTTTTGCCATATAAGTTTATGGTTGGATTAGAGTCATGACAATCATTATTTCTTTTATTTGTTCCCTTGTGATCCACTTATGAAAAATGTGGTTCAAGTTCAGCTTAGAATAGCAAAACACACAGAGAAACTCTTAGGAATGTGCTGATTAGCATGATAATGCCTTAAATGCTTCTAATTTCATTTTATCGTATTCAAAAATAAAGCAAATATAGCTTATTTGAAAATAATCCACACGTGCACACAAATTATAGATTGTTGATTTAAGTTGTTAAAAAGTGATTTAATTACTTACAGCTAATCATCTCTTCAAAATATGGTATGACTAACTTCTTCTAAATTTATTATTATAATATAAGTTTTTATAAATAAATTATAAAATTTAATATAATTAATGCATTAAATAACATTTATTTTTGTAATTTTTAATAAAATTTTATATTTCACTTTTTATCCTTTGCAATATTTTACAGATTAAAAATACTTATATATAATAATAAAAAAACTGTTTATTCAGAGGTTGATCCATGTGTTTGGTAGTAAAATTTATTTATTTCACTTTAACATATTTTTTATTAAATACATCACCTATATATAAATATGTTCGATAAATAATTAATGCATAATTGATTTATTTTTTTTAAAAAAAAATTATTAGCTTAGAAAAACTATTTATTCATATTTGTTTCAAATTAGTAACCACGATCTCGATATATTCCCTACCATTTCAGTGAAAGTGTAATACAAAGAATTAAGTAATTACATAAATTTAACAATTTGTGAATCGTGTTTGTAATCTATCTGCAGAAAATTATATGCTAGTAATAGAACTTTTTAATTGATTTATTAATTTACTGAATAAATCTCTAGATTTTGTATTACATGTGTGTGCATATATATATATATATATATAATCTTTTCACAGTAGTGCAAATATAAAAAAATTTATATTTAATTTAAGTTTTTTATTCAACTTAATTATATAAGTTTTTATTTATTTATTTGTGAAATTTTCCCACATCCAAGAAATACAAATTTTACATTGTTTCACGAAACGATGCAGTGCTCTTTTCTTTTACTGAATATGAGGGAAAGTTGATTTTACGCTGGACCAGATAAAAATTAAACAGAAAAACTTTTTTGATGGGATTTCCATATTCAATGTGGGGGAACACGTGGCCCTAAATTAAAACCCCAACTAAAAAATAGCGTCAAAGTCCACCAAAAACTTAATTAAAAAATAAAATAAAATAAATGTGAAAAGAGGAAACGAAGTCCGAAACTTTGAATGTAAGAGAACCGGCCTTCGCCCAATGGGAACGTCATTATAAATTGAGTAAAAGTCAACCCAGAAACAGAACAAAACAATAAAAAGCAAAATCGAAATTGCAAAATGTGTTACCGAAATTGTGTTTCTTCCTAAAAATAGTTGAGTAGAAAGGCAAGGGGACGTGTCTATTCAAAGAGCTATCTATGATTTTAAGAAGAAAGGATGGGGTCTTAAAATTCTCTCATAAATGATAGTGGATAGGCTAGTTAATTGTGCCCATACTTGTGACATACATCTTTCACTTTCTTAAATCTTCTCCTCAACGTTGCACGAATTTTATTTATAACAAATAAATATTTAATTTATAAAAATTAATAAAAGATAGTTATATATTATAATTTTTTATATTTTTAAATCATTGTTTTCATCCTTCAATTTAAATATCAATTTAAATTTCATCTTTTAATTTTATTTATTAATTTTAATCTTTTAATTTTAAAAATATTTTAAATATATTATCTTTTGTTAAACTTTTTGTTTTGGGACATGTGTCTTAATTGTCTTCTTCTTTGTATGTTTATGTATTGTTGATCGTATTTTTTTTTTATTTTCTCTTTTCTTAGCATTTTTCTTTCCTTTTATTTTCTTTTTCAATCTTTCTTCTTTTTTTTATTTTTTCTTTTCTTCTTCTCTTTAAAACTTTACACAACAAGAGCAGTAAATATGATGGGCATTTAAAGTGTTGTCACGACCTTGAAAGGATAATTAGAGTTGTCAAAGTAGGTTTGACTTGATGGGTCAGCCACTTAGCTCATTAAAATTAGTAAGTCAAACTGAATATTTTGAACTCATCGACCCACCCTGTTTTAGCCTGCCAATGGTAAGTTAGGATGGGTTAACCTGTCAGCTCATATTTTATTTTTAAAAATTTTAAAAAATTAATTTTTATTAATATAAAAATATTTTTAAATGTTTTTTTATTTATTGTAATTTTTAAAATTTTTTGTTAATTTTCACTTAGCTAATCCATTGATCCATAGTTCATCAACCATTTTTTATTTTCTTTTTTCACATATTTGGTTAGTCTGTCCTCACTCTTAAACTGGTTGGATTGAAAAATTCAACATATTTTTTAAATGAAATAGGCTCAAATTAGCCTTTTTGAGCAAGCTTCTGGCAGGTTAGGATAGACTGGTTATTTTGTCACTCTTAAGGAAAATATCTTTGTTCTTATCAATGTAGAAGAGATAGTGATGGAAGATAAGGAAGCAATAACAGTGAGAGAGGAGGAGACAGTGTTAGGAGCAACTGTGTGGCGATGAGTTTGATGGAATTAAGGGTGCTTAATAGAAAGAGGAAATATGAAAAAAAGATAAAATGAAGAGGAAGAGTTGGAAAAAAAAGTTGAAACAAGAAAGTTGATAAAAAAAGATAATAAATAATGTATTGAATGAACAATACATAAATATTACATGTGAGAAAAGTTTTAAAAAAAATATTAATGAAGTTAGATTCTTAATAAAAAAAAATAACTTATTTAAAATATTTATAAATATTAAAAAATTAAAATGAGTTATAAAGAATTAGAAAACGAAATTAAATTAAACTTTAAGTTGAAGAACAAAAACACTAATTTTACCTTAAAAATATATATAATATTAAATATTTAAATTTATATTTTATATATTAAATAAATTAATATATTTACTTATGTGAATAAATAGAAAAGATTTTATTAATCAAACCTAACAATAAATAAAAGCATAAAAAGTATTTAATAATTAATAATTTTAAAAATATATTTTATTTCTTATAATTAAGACTAAAAACTATTCTAATTTTGTTTAGTTTTATCTTTGAGAATAAGTTTAAGCACAGAAAGAGGTAATATTTTATTAAAAAACTAATAGATTTATGTGTTAAAGTTAGAAAGATATAATAAAATCTTATTATTATTACTATTATTATTGTTAAATTAACGGTATTTTATTTATTTTTATTTTTTTAAATTTAATTATTAAAAAATATATTTTTTACAAAAAATTTGTTGTTTGGAAATTGTTTGTCACATTTTACTAGTTTTTTCATTATTGGTTGTTGAGATTTTTTTTTTTTTTAAAAAAAAAAAAACAAGTGTTGCCACAATAAAAGAGCAAAACTTATCAAATATTGAGAAGTGTTAAGATTTCACAAGTTTTGCACATTTGGTGGTAATATTTAGTATTTTTTAAAAATAAAATTTTGAATTGTGAAATATTTTGTACCTAAGTTGTATGGGATCATAGTTATCATTGTGTTAATCATCTTGACCTAATGCCCACATCATTGCATACTTTGAGCGTGAAGTACCATCAATCCCAACTATCACTCTCTTTTTCTCCATAATTCCATAGTCTCCATTTTCATGCATGTTAAGTTAAATCTTTTGTTTCAATTTAGACTTGTTTCACTATTGTTATTACTAGATAAAGAGGTGACAAGGTGGTTTGGTGTAGCACAATTTTTGTATGATATATTTCTTTTTTATAGAAAGAACAAAGCAATCTCAATGCTCATTTTAATAAGTATCACCCTACATATGATTATACTATTCTTTTTAAATAAAGTCTCGTCATATGCAAGGTAAAACTTGCATATGTGACTACATGTCAAAATTTCACTTGCAGACGTGAACATGTGTCAAAATCTCACAAGTCTTGTCCTACAAGTGACAATACTTAATTTCTTTTTTTTATTTTAAAAAAAAAGAAGCAAATATCAAACATGGAAAGGGTGAAACTTCTCAAATCTCAACACGTGTTAAGATTTGGAAAATTTCACCCTTTTTGTGATGATTTTTTTTTTAATTACATGTGGTAAAAAAAATCAATCAAAAAATTTATTTGAAATATTTATCTTTTAATAAATAGTTTTTTAAAAAATAAAAAAACCCAAGATTAAGGGTAATATTTTATAGTATATATATATATATATATATATTATTAATTAATTTTTTAAATCAAGATGTGAGATAGCAATAAACAAGATGGTCTTGATCGTATGTTTCCTAATTTTGTTAAAGTTTTTCTTGGGGCTTCGCCTCTTTGTATACCAAAAAGAAAGTAAATAAAATTATGTAAAATATGATCACATATATTAGAAACAGGTTTAGTAATGGTTAATTTTAATAAACTTGTAAAAAACCACCAATATAACAACTCGATAACAAAGGAAATCAATGTATTAATATGGTAATATCTTTATATAGTATTATGAATAGTGTATTTCTTTCAATGATAAAGAAATATAGTTATCTATATAAATGAGACAACTATACCAATACAGAGAATTAACTCAGCGACAAGGAGAATGTTTAGAGAAAGAAAATAAGGCTCTACATAACTCTTGTCCTCACTCCTCGCTACTTTTATGCCTTGAGTATCATTTATAGCCCCGTACAAAATCATGCAACTTGGAGTTAGTTATTTTTTTTCCTAACACTTTTCCTTATTTCTGTAGAAACCACACACTCCTCCACATTAGCAAAAAGCATAATAAAATATCCTTAATCATTATTTCTCCTATTCCATTTGAATTCATAACATTACCCACCCCATTAAAAGCAATATTGCCCTAAGGTTGAAGGTAGGATACGACTGTTGTATGAGCTATATATCCTCCCAAGTTGATTGTACTTCATCAAGGCCTTCGTAATGTATCAAAACTCGTGGTACCTATTGTGAACCACAAAAAATAATCATTTATTACAACATAGACAAAGGAGACAACAGTAGTCTTAGCTTACTACTAATCAATGGCAGTGACATAAGTCTTATTATGCTCTCCTTTACAAGGCTTTAGTTGGGATACTTGAAAGATAAGGTGAATCTAAGTAGTCAAAGTTAACAACAACTTGTAAACAACTTTGCCAACCTTCTAAATAACTGAAAATGGGTCAAAATATTTTAAACTA